GAGCTGAAGAGCTGAGGGACAGCGTCCAGGCCCAGAGTTCAGGCCCCATGACCAACCAAAAAAAAAAAGTTTAAATTCTTTGTAAAAGAATTTTGTAATTTGTTTCGTCAGGCTCAACAGGAAAACAGATACTGAGAAGCAGCTTGTGTTAGCCTCTGAGTGCTAGCTTTATAGATATATACCACTAGACTCAGTTCCACACTGAGTCTTAATTCAGAAGTATGAATTTCAGCTGGAGGCATGGCTCTATTGGTACAGCACCTCCCAGAAGGCAGTCCTGAGTTCAAATCCCAATACCACACATACAAAAAAAGGCATAAATTTCTACCAATCAGTTTTATGACTATCACCAGATATGTGAAATGAGCTAGGAAAGATAACGTGATTCACTTATTTTGTCTTTGTATTTCTAATAACATTTAGAAATGAGGGCTAAAGAATATGGGGATTTTTTTTTAAGATTGTTCATGCCCTATAACTTTAAAGACATTTGTCTTTATGTTCAAATTCTAGTTCTATCAGTAAGCAGTAGAAATTAGTAAAAAGTACTCAAACATCCTAAGCCTCAAGCTTCCTCATCTGTACCAGAAACGTAATAAAAGTACAAAAGAAACAGTAAGGGGAAAAGACTTTTTTTTTTTTTGTCAGTTGTGGGGCTTGAATTCTGGGCCTAGTCACTTTCCCTGCACTCTTCAGCTCAAGGTGAGCGCTGTACTGCTTGAGCCACAGTACCACTTCCGGTTTTCTAGTGGTTTATTGGTGGTTGGAATCTCATGGAGTTTCTTGCCCAGGCTGGCTTTGAACCATGATCCTCAGCTCTCAGCCTCCTGAGTAGTTAGGATTACAGGCGTGAGCCACTGGTACCCAGCTTTTTTGGCCTTTTTTTGTGTGCCAGATCTAGGGCTTTAACTCAAGGCCTAGGCATGGTCTCTGAACTTTTGTAGGTCTAGCACTCTACCACTTAAACCACAGCTCTACTTTTGGATTTTTGGTGGTTAACTGGAGATAAGCCCTACAGACTTTCCTGCCTGGGCTAGCTTTGAACCTTGATCCTCAGATATCAGCCTATTAAGTTAACTAGCATTACAGATATGAGCCACCAGTATCCAGCTTGAAATAATCTTAATAAAAATTTCTCTGAAATAAATGTGTCAAAAAATTAAAACCCTATGCCACCTAAATCTTCTCCTCCAAGGTTAACATTATTTTAAAAGAGAAAACAACTGAAATAAATGACTTAAGAAAAATTATAGAGGAGAATATTCACCTCCTCATCTCTCGTTCTTACTGCATCCGGGATCTCTCTGCTACTTGGAAATGCTTCTTTCTCAAGGTCAAGAGTTTCAGGGGAACTTAGCTGTGTCTCTGTAATTTAAAAAATTTAAATAACATTAATTTAATTTTGGTTTTTTGTAGTTATGAAATACACAAAGAAAAATGAAACCATGTCATTTGCAGAAAAATTAGAGGACATCATATTGAACAAGACAAACCAAACTCAAAAAACAATGTATCATATGTTTTCACTCACACGTGGAAGACATACATATTCACAGACATGGGCTCAGATAGATAGATAGATAATTAGATAGACACACACACAATTACTTATATGAGTAAATACAGAACAAGAGTGTAATTAAGAGACTACCTAGGAGGAGAAGAGAATGAGGGAAAAAGATAAAGGATGAGTAAGTTTGAAGCTCACTGCAAGCATATATGAAAAAACAGCATTCTGAAGTCTGTTGAAGATGAGAAATTTGTCTCAGAAGGCAAATCCTGTAAGTTTGACAGTACTTATTATACCTCTAATGGCATTTGTGTGCTTTACAAATACAATGTGCAAGATTCTAAATAGCTTCTAACTCATTAAAGAATACATTTCTAGAATTAATTGTATTTTAATACATCACAATTTCTTGGAAAGTGGATACACACACACACACACACACACACACACATACACACACACACAGATTTTATCCCCTTGATAGGAAAGCACATAAGCCTCAAAATCTTCTTTGCAAGTTAGTATCAGGCATAGCATCACCATACAGTCTGTTCAAATATAAGAGCACTCACTACCTGGACTACTGTACAATAATGAAAGTCATATACTAGGCCCTGTGTGAATGACTGAAATGTCCAACTATACAGACAACTTACAGAGATACCAATGCCTCAGAAGTAAACAGTGCTAGCACAAGGCACAACAAGGACATAATATGGTCATATTCTGCTTCTTTCACAAAGTAACCCTAAAAGATAGCCTCGCCTGGTACCAGTGGCTCAATCCAAAGTAATCCTAACTGCTCAGGAGACTGAGATCTGAGGATCATAGTTCAAAGCCAGCCCAGGCAGGAAAGTTCATGAGACTTTATCTCCAATTAACCACAAAAAGCCAGAAATGGAACTGTGGTTCAAGTGGTAATCACTAGCTAGCCTTAGGAACAGTGCCAGGCCCTCAGTTCAAGCCCCAGGCCCAACCAAAAAAAGCCTAGTTGGTGTTTGTTTTGTTTTGTTTTGTCAGTCATGGGGCTTGAACTCTGGGCCTGGGTGCCATCCCTCAGCAAGTGCTCTACCACTTGAGCCACAGCGCCACTTCCGGTTTTCTGGTAGTTTACTGGAGGTAAGAATCTCATGGACTTTCTTGCCTGGGCCGGCTTTGAACTGGGATCCTCAGATCTCAGCCTTCTGAGTAGCTGGGATGACAAGCATGAGCCACTGGTGCCCAGCTAGCCTAGTTTTTAGTATAAAATCCCTGAAACTGTAAAAAAAAAAAAAAAAAAAAAACCTCTCTACAAGCTCATTTAGAAGTGGTTTTGTCTACAAGCAGACTTAATCTGCAGGCTAATGACAGAAAGTCAGATCATAAAGCTACCTAACCTCAATCAGTCCTCACTAACAAGGACTTTCAAGTTCTTCCTGCAAGATCCCAGGATGATATCCTATGCCATTATCTAACAGGTATACTGAGAGACTTTGCAAAAGAGGGCCAAGTGCTCAGTTCCAGATAAAAGACGCAGCCTGGGACTTTCCCAGAAAAAAAATTGCTTTCTTCTCACAAAGACAGTATTTCAGTCTTGAGAGTTCCTGCCAAAATCAGAGCACTTGGTAGTGAGGTCTCTTGGTGGGCATAATTAGGCAATAATCCAAAAACATTTCAAATGAATTAGGGAACCACTTTCAATGAAAACCAACATAATTATACTCTTAAAATAATATTTTAAAAGATTTCACGATAGGCTGCCAAGTGCTTGAAAATATTTACACAACTTTTCTAGATTGTACATTAACTATGGCTTGCAGTCTATGTAGAAAAAATTGAAAAGAAACCAAAACTAGGAAACTATGAATATATCTGACAAGCAGAAACCTGAAAACTCAAGATAGGACTTTTAGCAACATTTGTAACTACTTGCCATCCCATAAGTTCCTCAATCTAACATGAATGAAGTTACTGATAAATATAATAGGCTTTTCTTTTTAAAAAGCCCCTCCCCCACCCAAAAAAAGAAAGAAAACTGAGCACCAGTGGCTCACACCTATAATCCTTGCTACTCAGGAGGCTGAGATCTGAGGATCAAGGTTCAAAGCCAGCCCAAGAGTTTTTTGGGGGAGGTCCAATCATGGGGCCTGAACTCTGGGCCTGGGCATTGTCCCTCAGCTCTTCAGCTTAGGCTAGCACTCTACCACTTGAGCCACAGCGCCACTTCTGGCTTTTTTTCTTTTTGCTTATGTGGTGCTGAGAAATCGAACCCAGGACCTCATGCATGTAAGGCAAATCTCTACCACTGAGCCACCTTCCCAGCCCAAGGTATAGCCCAGGCTGGTCTCAAACTCGTGATCCTCTGGCCTCATCCTCCTTGTTGATTACCGACGTGCACCAGGGCTTGAACTCTGGGCCTGTGCACTGTGTGTGTGTGTGTGTCCCTGATCGAAGTTCAGGGGCTGGGAATTCAGCTCAGTGGAAGAGCGCTTGCCTGGTGAGTGCAAAGCCCTGAGTTCGGTACTCAGCAATGTGAGGGGAAAAAATGCTATAGAAGGATTGAAGTTCAAAGCTACTCTGGACAGGAAAGTCTGCCAGGCTCTTATCTTCAATTAACCACCAGAAAAACAGTGCTGTGTCTCATCTGTTAGAGTAACATAGCCTTGAACAATAAAAGCTCAAAGACAGTGTCTAGGCCTTGAGTTCAAGCACCAGTACTGACAAAAAAAAAAAAGTAAGTTATAGAGGCTGGGCTTGGTGGCTCATACCTGTAATACTAGGTACTCAGGAGGCTAAGATTTAAGAATCACAGTTCAAAACCAGGTCAAGCAAGAATGTTCCTGAGATTTTTATCTCCAATTAACAAACAAAAACCTAGAAGTAGAGCTATGGATCAAGTGGCATTGAGGGCAGTGCCCAGGTCCTGAGTTCAAGCCCTAGGACCAACACACACACACACACACACACACACACACACTCTCTCTCAAAAAAGTCACAGAAATTTACACAAAGTTCAATTTCTAGATTCTTATGATAATAAATGACAGTGTCAAAAATAACTTGTAGAAGTCTCAGAACAATCTACTTAATGAGGCTGACCCGAGGTCATTCTAACTGAAAACACTAAACCAAAACATGTAAGTCCTCATGGTTCTAAACGTACAGATGAATTTTGTTTATTCTGTCCAGATCCTTGGCTTGAACACAGGGCCTAGGCATTGTCCCTGAGCTCTTATTGTTAAAGGCTATGTTACTCTTAACAGATGAGACATAGCACCTATCTCAAAATTTTGCTGATTAGGGGCTGGGAAGGTGGCTCAGTGGTAGAGCGCTTGCCTTGCATGCCTGAGGCCCTGGGTTCGATTCCTCAGCACCACATAAGCAA